CTATTTTTTAAGTAAACCCGAGAATATTTTGGATTTGACCTAAATTTCATCTACTTTTATGTTAAATCGAACTTACCTTACTTTATGGTGATATTTTAACTTCATATTATTCCTAAGATTAATAAGACAGTAAAACTTAACAATAGACGAATTTCTGTCAAAAATCTTTCATTGAATAACTTTTATTAACAGCTTCTGGCAGCTACAAAAGTAATTAGTTTTATTGGTAAATTAATGTAAATTAATTTAGAAAACTAAAAATTTAATATATAAGTATTAGATATATTATTATATGAGTAAAAATATATGTTAAAAAATACGAAAAAAATTTGAACTTTTAAGTAAAAAATATAATCTTTAGAATTATTGCACAAATACCGTGACTTCAAAATTGCAATAATATGTACGATGTACTACTGCACAGTTCAGCAATTTCTAAATTTTGTATTAGTATCGTATTATTGCGATTTTGAAGTTTAGAGCTAATTTACACTTATGATTCTATATATTATAAATATTACCATTTTCTTAATTATACAAGCCTATATATAAAAATATTTCCGTTTTTTTTTTTATGTAATATAAATTAAAAATTAATGTAATTAATTGTACAAGTAACTGCCTTTTTATATATAACACCAAAATAATTCAAAATAGGATTATATTAGTCCTTTAAAATTAATAATTATTATTTACCTTTAATAATTTTGCACTAAAATTATACAAGTTACTTGTACATTTTTACATTGAAATATTCATTTATTTTTTATTCTAAATAAAATAAAGAAAACAAATAATTTATAAAATGTAAAATAAAAAAAAAAATTAATTCAATAAAAATTAAAACAAAAAAAAATTACATAGATAAAATAATAAAAAAAAAATAAAAAAAATGAGTTATTAACATATACCCGTAAGTCCGAACTTGTACTTAAATTAAAAAGATCTGCAAGTCCAGAATTATGGGAGTCTGTTATTACTTTCCTTCCTTTTAATAAATTGTTCAATTAAAATAACAAAAAAAAAATTAAATTTAGATTAATTAATTTACAAAAAATTTTATTTCTTTTTTTTTTTTGTTTGTATTTTATTTTAAATACTCACCCGTATTGTATTAGTTACATCAAATGAGGTGACATTTTATATTATTGAAAAAAAAATATTTTAATCTTCAGTATAAAATTTTCAATTCTGAAATTGATTTTATTCTTAAAAAAAACACAAAATATTTGAATAACAACCAATCACGTAAAATTGTACGACTAAGCGAATATATATGGGTGATTATTTTACATTAAATATTACACTTTTGTAAATAAAACACACTTAGCACCACCTAATTTTTCTTCTCTTACCATATCTACATACATATGTATATCTATTTTTTTTTCTATTTACCATAAAATTTTAATGTACATACTTTCAGTTTATTTCAGTATTAATTGTATATATATATACAAGAATATATTACATATTTAAATATTTTTATTTTACATTTTAATTTAAAAATATTAATTATATTATATATTTGTATTTAAAGATAAAAATCAGAAAATAAGGACTAAAAATAAAATATTTTAGTTCTTTATTGTTATACGATGAATGTTCCTTTCAGAATGAGGTAGTAGGTTGTATAGTATTGTAATTTTTAAAAAATCGCTGTACACTCTGTTACCTTTGTCTTGAGGGGAAAATATGCAACTAACATAAATAAAAAAAAAAATAACAAATAACAAGGGAAAATTTTAATAATATTTATATTTTTATATTTGTTCAAATATCGTATATTTTTATTTACGTTATATTAATTCAATATAACAATTATGTATAATTTAATCTTTGTAAATAGAATCTATGAAATTTATTGTATAAAATTTGTTTTCCTAATAAGTGTTTTAAAATGAATTTTTAATATTAATAACAGTTTTAATATCATTTATAATAAATTTGTAATTTCTTTTATTTTTACTCTTTTTATTTGTTTCATTTTATAAAAATACCGTTATTATTTTCAGCTAAAACAAAAATAATTAAAAATTTATAGTGTAAGTACTTACTTCGCATATTTTAAGCAACAAAATATAAGTTTAACCCGAAAACACAAAAGCAATTATTAAAAATTGTGGGAACAGTTTGAAAATAATTTTGTGGTGGTAATTTTTCTTATTTTTACAGCTAGTCAATATTTTAGACCCAGTGAAGTTTTATAACTTTCGCTGGGTTTTAATACCGTTACCAGATGAAGTTTGGAGATCCAGGTTTTAAAGATGTTTAATAATTAGAAAAATAATTTAATAAAAAAAAATATACTAAAATTTATTAAAGAAATTACTTGTGTTTCATTTATTTATTTTTTAATAATTTTGCTATAATAGTATTATTTTAAAACTTGGTTAGGTTTACATTAACAGGTTTCATAAAGTCTAAAATAATATTTTACATTTTATAATATTCATGTATTGTAATATTAAACTAATTGAGTAAGAAAATAAAATTGGAGTTTTTACAAAAAAAAGAAGTTGAAATTAACTTACAACAATTTAATGGAAATGCTTACAAAGTGAACATATTTTTGTAAATTATTAAATTAAGCTCAATTTTTTATTAAAATTTTCAAATATTTTTTTTCTCCAAATTAATTCTACTTAATACAGTATTGTGACGTTTTACAAAATTAATTCTGTTGCTTGTTTTGATAATTTATTGATTTAAATTATATTTTTGCTATTACATTTTCAACTGTGGTCATTTCAAATATGGCTTAATTCATTGAAATTAATTGAACAATGTACAACAAACATTATGTTATACATTTAATAATCTATGTTGTACATTGAAAATATAGAAATATTGAAAAATATTGAAAATATTAGAAATACCCCTATTCCCAAAATTATACTCCTAAAATTTTAAAATAAACCTATTACTATATGGCATAAATGCATTTTCATCTTAATACTGCTTTTTATTATTTATATTGCAAAATGTTTTAAAAATGTAGTTTCTGTTTTTAAAATCGTTTTGAATCCTTTTTTTCGTACTCTAAACCTTTATATTTTAAGGTTTCAGAAGTGTCTAATTTCATTGTAAAAAATGTACCCAAAAAATATATCACTGTTATACACATGAACTATATAGTTAGGCACAGAGAAAAAAATCTTATAAGATTATATAATACATGCAGCATTACATTTGACTATATAATATATATAGTAATATTATTACATTATGGTTGAAGGTGGGTAAAATCGATATTAGCTATTACACTAAATTTAAAATTTGTTCCTAAAGTAAAATAAAAAATTTAATTTTTTTTTTTTTTTTTGATAATTTCAAATAATAAAATATTCATTCCCGTAATTTTTAATAACTAAACAAGAGTAAAAGGATGTAAAATAATCAACTAACTGCTTTGATAATAAAGATGTTATACAAAGGTAAATATCAGGGAAATAAAAGTAATTTTTGAGGTATGACCTAATTATTCAGTTGCGTCTTTATACATATGTCTTGATTTTAAAACGACATGTAAACATGCTTGGTTACAGACTTACATGTATACAATACAAATATAAATAAATATACTGCATAATAATTTTGCAAGCAGATAAAAATAAAAATATTGCATTTACATGATACTTACTTCCGGCAATTTAAATTCTAAAAATGTAATAAAAATACTGAAAATTGAAAAGAAAACTTTAAGGAAGGAAAACTAACTTTAAAATAAATTCGTAGTCTGGTTCATTGTAACTTATATTAAAGATCATCAGCCTATTTTTAAGACTAAATTAATAAAACGGTAATCAAAAAAATTCATTTCTACATTTTAGTTTTGCTTCTTACCATCTATTTTTTATTAGTCTTTTTCGAATGATTTAATATTTTTGACTTATCTTTTGTTTTTTACATTTAAAAATTAAAAATATCTTTTCCATATATTAATATTAATAATTACATCTTAAAATCTATATAAAATTACAATATTATAATCATAAGCATAATAAGCATAAATTAAAAAAAAACTAGTATCATAGAAAATTATTACTATATATGTGAGGTATCCAAATTATCATTATTCAAGAAACTTAAACCTTCGCTTTCAATGGCAACATCAATAGCATGTTCAATAAAGCTTGTTCTATTTCTATTTCTATTTATATTCTCCGATGATGATGATGATGATTGTTGTGTCATACGATTAATATTTCTTGATATAGGTAAATTATTGCGATTGATATTATTAACATCACCACTGTCATCGTTTTCATTGTCAATATTATTATCATTATTGTTATTGCCGCGTAATCCGTGTGAATTTATAGCCATTGTAACGGCAGATATTTCAAAATCAAGAACTTCTCTACGTACTCGATATGCTTCCAATGTATGATTGATAATATTTTCAAAATCGCAATGTTCAATTGCTTCAGCTTGCCATCTTCTTAATTGCTCAGTTTCTTCATCCATTCAAGTTCACAAAACTAAAAAATTTTAACTAAAATAATTAGAATTCTAGAAAGTGCGTTTTTTTTAATTGTGTGAGTGAGCAAAAATAAATAAAAAAAAAACAAGACCAAAAACATACAATCAAATAAAAACTAAAATTTTAAATTATTTAATTTAGAAAAAACAAAAGTTAAAATTTAAATGTTAAAAACAGAAAATTAAATCCCTTAAAATATATGTATGTAATGTAAGTTTATACGCCGTTAACAAATTATATACAAAATAATTATTTAATTACTCCAGTATTATTTTTTATTTTGAATGGCTGATGATCTTTAATGCAAGGTTGTTTTTTAATGTATTTTAAATATTATTTGAAGAAGTAATAAATAAATTCGAAAAATTTATGATTGAAAAGCTGATATTTTCGATTATTTTATTTTTCATGTTATGCTAAAACAAAATAAAAAATGATAAAAATTTATTCATTGAATTTAATTTATAAGAATTAAAGTTTTTCGGACTTTTGTAATTTTATTTATTTCATTTCGCCTACTATACAGTCGTTAATAATTACTTAGGAATAATAATGAATTACATTTTTAATTTTGTTTTTTTTTTCTTTAATTTTTTAGTTATTTAATTTTTATCATTTAAATTTTTTGAATTTTTTTTAATTTTCTCTTTAAATTTAATTTTTTGTATTTCTTTTTATTCATTTTTAAATGTCATATATTACAATACATTTTCCTTTTTTCAACGTTTAAATATATAGTAATAATAGTAATAATAATCATTCGTAAAAGTTTTATAATATATTTTTCTTGTTTTAATATTATTTAATAATAATTGCATAAATAAAACACATTGTCATATTAATATCTAAATAAGTAAATATAATATATGAATTAATATTTCACTCGCTGCCTGTTAAAGCCCATTTCTTTTCTTCCATAATTCTATCAAAACAATCGGATAGAAACGAGTGATATGGCGTGTAAACTTTAACCCATTTAGCAGATTTATCACTACGGTTATATTGAAAACAGAATGCCATTGATTCTTCATCACTTTCCCATTTTGTAATTGAATCCCAAATTAGTTCAACCATTAATGATTCAAGTGTACCATCCTCGCGACATGCATGTAACTTGAAACTGTTAATACCAACAGACGGTACAACATGACCACCTTTACGACTGTCACAAGAGCAATGCGGAAAAACAACATCACCATAACCAGGTAAAGTTCTAGCTAATTTTAAATAATCGAGTGCTTTTTTAGCATCTTGCAATGCTTTCAATTCATAAAGTCTGCCGTCAGCTTGTATATTACCACGATTCACTTCATCAATCGCTTGAAAAAATATAAATTTAATTGCTTGTTCATCATCAGGTAAAGTTAATTCTTTTGAAATTGTAAATAACCAACGTCTTACACAAAGGCATGTACTTGATGCTGTACTATAATTTTGAACATAAATTTGATGTGGAATTTCATGTGGTTGTAATTTTCTTTCAAAATTATATTCAACTATTTCAAAAAGATAAAAATATTGCTGTGTAAATGATGTTAAATTTGCTTTTTGAACTAATACATTCCAAACAATCTGAGCATTTGATGATTTTTTAACTGAAATGGAAACAACTTCACGATCTGGTAGCATAACTTTTATATCAACTGGTGATGTTTGTATATCATCTTCAGAATCTGTTAAAAATTCTTGTACGGCGTCACTTTCTGCAATTATACGTACAGCGCACACCTTTTCTAAATATTGTTCAAGACCACGACGTCTTGCATCCAATTGTTGATCATTCAATTGGAATGGCCATTTTCCTGGTAGTTTCGGAAAATTAAATCCCACAAATTCTTTCTTTAATATTGAATGTAAATTTGCGAATTCACGATATCTTCTGGAACATAACTGCCTCCCAGCCATATGTATATTAAATACAACATATCTTTCACCATTTCTGTCAGTAATGCTATAATCTGGAATGCTAATTGGCAAAGATCGTTTTTCTGAATAATCGAGACATGAGTGACTGCTATGATCTTCTTGAGGTTCAAGTCTTTCAGCTTCTTGTGGTGTTACAGATATTACAGTTAAAGTTAAACAATCACCACCAGATTTGATTAAATCAACAACTTGTTTATGCGTTGCACCTTCAACATTCACATTATTTACTTCTAATATTCGATCACCTTTTTTAATACCAGCCCGTTCAGCTGCACCATTTTCCAGAACAGCACTTACATGTTGCAATGGGGCGTATAATTCTCCATTTATGCTACGTAGCTGTCCGCCCTCGGATATCTGACCTCTGACATTAAATCCAAATCCAGTCTCACTTTTATGTATAGTAACAACACGCGGACCATTAAAACCATTCATGTCCGCAAAAACATTTCTAAATTAACTGGCTTATGTCTAATTAATAAATGTAAATTAAATTTAATGATAGTAAATTTTTATATAAAACAACGTCATACAAAAGGAAATGGATGCTAGTATTTTTAACATGCCCTATTTGTTTTTTTCTAAATATTTAATATTCTTTTATTTTACTTACATTTTTTTATTTCGTTTATTATGGCTTAAAGTTTAGTTTCGATTTTATATTGGCGTATAAATTAATATTTCTTTAATAAGAAAATTTTTCGAATATAAATAATTTTTTCTTTTTTATTTTCTGTAGCCTATCCTTTTTGACTTTTTTTTTATTGACTTTTACATTTGACGTTTTCTTTAATTCAATTAGGGGTAGGTAATGTTAGATTACTAGTAATACGTTTAGAAGATGGTTTTGCTCAGAATACAATATACAAAATCCTTTTGGAATAAAAGGACAAAAATCTACATATACATTTTATTTATTTGATTGTTTGTTTTTTAAATTATTATTACCAAATAGTACAAAATAACCAAATTTGAAATTCGTTACTCGTTAATTAACTTAGTATTGAACAATCTACATTGAATATTATAAAAAAAGTGCAGAAAACTCATAAAATGTATGTACTAAACATTTTGCCATTTATGCAGCTAACGTTATTTAATCTGTCAATATTGTTGAATCTGTGGTAGCCGCGCATAAAGTGTAGACCCCAGGTTATAAAAAACTACATTGTAAATAAAATATGCTGTGAAAAATTAGTTATTTTATTTATGATTACGCAAAATTTCAATAGTATTATTAAACTTAGCTTACGATTTATCAATTTTTGTATGCAATAGAGCACGCGAATAATTCATATTCTGATACATACTCTTTTATTTTAACAATCCACTATTGATCCTTGAACACGTTTAAAGCATGTTGATCAATATAGCCACTAAGATCTAAACTTTTTTAAAACTTTATTAAACTACACTATTGCAGCTTCATAATTACGTTCACAAAAATTAACTTTTTTAATATTATTTCTTCAACCAAACTTGAACAATATGTTTAAATCTTGTTTAAGGATCAAGTAGAATAGTGGATGGAAAACCATTATATGTACAAACATTTATCCTTGATATGTAAGAATAATCCTGAATAGGCAAAATATGTAAAAATACACATTAAGATAGTAATGAATAGTTTCTCAATATGAATTAAAAAAAATACTGAGTAGGCATTATAATACAATTTGTAGAAAATATTATAAATTTTCATGTGGAATAGTTGTTTTTTGGGTAATATTGAGATTGATAGATAATTTAAACCAAATTTCTTTAGAATTTTATTTCTACAGCATCATTCTGCATCACAGCATATTTAATAACATAGTAAGTTATTGAAATTTCTTTTATATTAATTTTTAGTTAAATACCTCATCGCATTTCCATTAAAATGAGTTGGCTACAATGCAAATTGTAAATAAATTCCAAGGGAAAAGTGACATCTGATACCAAATATATTAAACACATTTCCAAAACATATTTGACAGCTTCACTACACTAGGGATCATCTGTGATTTGAAGGCTTAAATTTTTTCGTTTCCATGACATAAGTTACAATCACAAATCGAAAATTTAGTGATTTTTTTTTTTACATATTTCATTGTAAAATTAATATTATTTAATTATAAATTATTAAAAAAATTTATTTAAGGAAAATGAAATATATTCAGTAAGTGCTAAGGTTCCTTAAAAGTTTTTCAATGACAGAAACAATGGCAGAAAGTTTGACGGTAAGGCGGTATTGAAAAAATTTTTTAAGCATTAAAACAATTTTATATTTAATATATTTAACATAATTAATATTTAAAATATAATACATACCATCAGTTTGAAAATCCATAAAAATAATCTATGATTTTAGGCTGATGAAATTGAAAATGTCCGGGTAGTTGTACGTGTTCGGCCATTAGATAAAATTGAAGAAGAAAGTAATTGCGAAAATATTGTAAGATGTGATATTATAACAAGATCAATAATTGTTCATAAACCAAATACCCCCGGACCACCAAAATGTTATTATTTTGATAACGTTTTTGGAGAAAATTCAAGCCAAGTAAGTAATAAAATTAGTATAAGTCATAAAATAGATCTTTTTCTTACATAGGTAAGTAGTTAGGTAAATGTAATTTTGAAGGTCCTACTTAAATATTCTGTATGTGATTTGCAATAATTCAAATATTTGCCTATTTCTTTAATATATTCTTTTATATGTATCCAATCAAAATTAGGAAATTTACTGATATAAACTATTTCGCTAAATGTTAATCTTTTCAATACAATTAAACTAAATAATACATATGATACATAGGATGATCTTTCCATTAATGTACATACACTTAGAGACAAATCGTATTTAGTAATCCTTATATTTGATTTGAAATAAGCAAATTAGGAAATCCTTATTTCATATCATTAGAAAATCTTAACTATATACTTGATTTTCTGAGATACATACTTTGATTTTGATAACAAAATTTTTTTGGAAATTATCTCATACAAATCGATTTTTATTAAACAAAATCATAAAATATGTAAGAATGCATCATCGGTAGGATAAATAAAAATATCTTTTGTTGTGAAGGAATAAGAATTAATATTTGATTTTGATTTGCTTTTAATTGTAAATATATAGAAAATAATTAAATAATTTTACGAAAAATATGACTCATCGAAATAGTAGGTACTAAGAATTTTTAATTAGAAAAACAATTCCAAATGTGATATCTAATTTTTTTCAAAAAAATAGCGAATAAAACAAATTTGAAAACAATTAAAAATATAATTTATTTTTATATTATTAACAATTAACTTAATATTCGTATTGTAATTAATTAACACCATTTAAATTTAAATCAATAATCTGACATCAAAATATAAAGAGATTTTTAATTAAATTACAAAAATTTCTATATTATAAAGATATATTTTTTTAATTTTTGTAATTAAAAATTTTTTTTAAGACTAAAAATTTTATTTGGTTTTGGTGGTGATGATTAGTTGTACTTCTACATTGATATATATATTATATATAACAATAATATAATTAAAAATTTAATCATTTTGCGTTCTTTTTGTTTTTTCTTTAAATTTGCTCTTAGAATAAAGTAAAACCTAAATTAAGATTACATTTATTTCGCGGTTAATGAAAAATGAATTTTAGTCTATAAATATTCATAATGAAGTTTTACTCAATATCTCCTTTCACGCCATAACGAATAGTTACGAGCAAATCAATTAAATAAAAGACTGCTACAACTGCCGAAATCGCACCGGTGACACAAACAAAATCCAATCTGTAACGAAAAATATATCAAAACATAAGTTCTATTAATTTTATTCCTGGGATTTTTAATAAAAATTTTAAAATTAATAATAATATTAAAATTTAAGATAAAATAGCAAATAAAATTAAATTTTCTAATAATCTAATAATAATACATTTTTTTAATTTTGCATTAATAAAAGTGTTGTAAATCGAAATAGTGCAATAATATTTGAGTTTAATTAGTCTAAAAGAAATAATGAATTTAAAAACAAATTTAAAATTAAATTCGGAGACTCTTTATTTAACAACGTAGAATTAGTTTTATTATATAAAATATAAATCGTTTTTTAGTAACTTTTATTTATTTATTTTTTTTTTAAATTTACCTTTGTGTTTGTGGATGCCAATAATATCTTTCCTTAGTTGCAGTATAATCTCTTAAAACAGCAATAGCACATGCTAAAAATAATACAAATCCTACCAATGACCAAAATGCAGATGTTCTCCAACCAGTACTAAAAAATTATATAAATTTTTTTTTTCCAAAAATCTTTTTGAATATTTTAATTAACAAAATAATATTTACGTTTCTTGTAATAATCTAACAATTAAATAAATTCCTGTATATATTAAAAATCCACCGAATGTTGCATAACATAATTGTATTGTTCTATTTTCTATTAATGGTCTATTACTTATTGGTTGATGATTAGCTGGATCATCAATTATTGCAATGCAACATATTATTAGCAACTGTAAATAAAAACGGAATACGTTAAATATTTATTTTCATATAAACTAAAATCAATTCATACCAATTCAAAAATTTTTAAAGTTATTGTTGCAAAAATTGCTGTTTTATTATAAGTTGTTTCAACTTCTTCCTTCATTGTGACACGAGTAATTTCTATAATATAAATTTGAATTATATTTTTATTAGAATTATGTATTCTGTGTATGCATTTAAAAATTTAATTTTACATAAAATATGATGCGATTATTTTCTATTATACTTTTTGGATATAAAAATTGTAGTGCGTTAGTTTCCAAAGAATAGTACAAAATAATTTTAATTTTTATAAAAATTGCCTTTTTATAGATGAGAAAAGATTTTACTATAAAATTCTTTTCTATTTTTTTTTATTGTAGGTATATTGTAATTTAATAAAATATAGTCATAAATTTTAATTTATTAATTAAAAAATATTCATATTAAATAAAATGAAAAACTATGCTAATGTTAATTAAAAATGATCTAGATTTTCATAAAATATAAGTGAATCATTAATTTATTTTTACACTAAAAATGCAAGTGAATATTTTGTTTTATAGAAGATAAATTATTATATTTAATTTATTTTGATTATGGAGATATATCTTCATGCAAAATCTAATAAAAAAGATGTAATTCTATTAACATAATGTGCTTTGAATTAGTTCAGTAAGTGTAAATAGTAAATTTATTTATTATAGAAATAATCATGAATTTAATTTATTGTAATACCTATTCCACGTAAATAATGCATATTTTTTTTTCTAATAATTTGTAAATCAATATTCCAAAACACCTCAGCTTTTTAATTAAAATTTAGTAACACATATATGGGATAGCTTTAAAATGAAGAAGAAAAATATAAAAATTATGAATATTTATAATTGTGATATTTATATTATAATACAAAAGTGTTGTGTTTAAAATATATGTATATATATATCTATCATATGTCAATGTTATTAATTTTAAGAGTTTCTGTTTTAAGAGTATATGACCAGTTTTGAGGTTTTTCACAAAAGCGAATTATCAGAATATTAACCTTATGAAATCTAGGCAACTAAGTTGTTAATTATAAATTGTAAAAGTAAATTGTTGGAAAATTTGCATAACTTTATTTAGTGTTTATTATAAATTTATTATTTTATGTAAAAATTTCAGTATTATTTTGATATAATCTTGATTTTCATCTAAATGATGAAAATATTCAAAAATATCACTCGAATAATTCTAAATTATATTTTATAAATTTAAAAAAATTTTTTTTCAAATAAATTTTTTACTCTTTTTAATTTTGCATGTTAACTTTTAACGACTGTAAAAATTAATTTTCAAATTCTAAAATATTACTACTTGCTTCTTTTAATATAATTAGCAACTTCTTATTAAAATGTATAACAATAGGGCAATAATTTAAAATGTTAGAATAGGGCAATAATTTAAAATTTTTAATATTTTTCTTTATTTTTTAAACAAGTTTAAATTAATATTAAATTCCAATTAATAAAGATATTAGTACCTATTTAAAAGAAATAAAGCTAGATATAAAGCGTTTTAAGTGATGACTAGGGCCACAATCAATAAGATTAAGAAAATATTTTTGACATATATTTAAACGAAGCCGAACATTATTTCAATTGTAATAAATAAAATTTGAATATTCAATTGCCATTTTTATATTGAGAATTATAATTATAGAATTATATTGAGTATGTTATTTGTTATTTTGTATGTCATTTTGTATAACAAAATTTGTTTTAATTAATATCGGTAGATTTCTTTAAAAACTTAATTTAATTTAAAAATTGAAAAATCAATGTATCGAAAATTTATGTAAACAAAAATACTTATTGATAAAATATAACACTTTCACATCAAATAATAATAACAATAATAAAACAATAAAAAAAAAACTCACAAATTAATGTTAATTGCCACAACAATAAGAAAAAAAATTACCTAATTTTTTAGTTGATTTTTTTTTAATACATAGATATTTTAATTTTTTAATAGATTAAACAAAAAAAAATAACACATATAAAATATAAAGAGCTCAGTATTCAATTTAATAAACCCAAAATTACTTTTATTTATTTTACATCTTCAATCTTCAACTGAGTATACAAAATTATATTATTTTTTTAAAAATATTATTTATATTACTAACACTATACTACCAACAAATTTAGTTAAAACTTTCATTCTTTAAATTTAAAAATAAATATCGAATTAATAAGAACGTGTTAGAAATATACATATATAGCTGGATTCACCTACATTATTTGTGTTAATTAAAAATAGAAACCCACAAATTTACAATTGGTATTTATTTATTATTATATAATGTGTGTGTGCGTTTTTTAATATAGAAAAATATTTTTTTTTATATTTGAACTTTGTATTTAATATTTTTGAATTACTGATATCACGATATCAAAATAATCAAAATATTTATTGAATCTTCTTGAAATAATTTTGTATATTGGTATTCTGATTTGATTATATATTTTGTATTATGATGGTAAATAGAAAGGTAGAATAGTTTTATAACAATAATTTTAGTGTAATAACTTTAAAGTGGTGTATTTTTAATTATTCTTCTTTTCTTTAATTGAAAATAATATAAATTTATTATTTAAAAGAAATTATTTTTAATATATTCTAGGCGCGTTTATTCATTTTCATTTAATTATGATGCAGTTAATTTTCCATTATTACCTCATTAATTTTCTACTTATAATGTCGTCACAATATTCACGACGAACACGTTTCAATTTCTATTTTATTATTTTCTAAATTTTTTTTTTTATTTCTGTTTGTAATTTTCTTTTTTTTTTAACAAATATTTTTACTACTACTGTCTCTTATGAAATAAACTATTGAACTGAATTTAAAATTCAATAGTATTAGAATCATAACCAACCTTTTTTTTTTAAGCGAAAATAAAAAACATAAACAGAAAGCACACATTATACGTTACCTTTATAAATAATAATATTAAAATGATGATGATGATGATTTTGATTTCTATTATGTTTTATTGATGTTAATGATGAATATGGTAATGATAATGAAAAATGAAAAGAGAATTAGTTATGTATGTTTAATAGTAGTTATGCTTAAGAAAGAGAGAAAAAAAAATTAAAGTTACGTGAAATGGAAAATTGTAGACGAAATTTTTGATTCAGAAAATATTTTTCTTAATATTATTGACTTAATATTGTGAATACTTTGTGTAAATGTAAAATTGTAACCTATGTAAAAATTAAAAATTTTTGGTATTGAAATATCTTAAGTACATACTAACGTTAGTTTGTATACTGCAATTTGTCTCATATTGCATATCGTCAGTATTATGGAATAGTCACGAAACTGGTTTTTGTGAGTTTTGAGCTATACACAGAAAAATTTAGAATTTTCCATCTTAATAAAAAACCAAGTTAACTCTAACGTTAGTATTTTCGGAAAATTAACGTTATAAATTTTTACACGAATTTGCAAATTGGACATTAGTATGTATATTCCCAAATGCGTTTTTCTCGAAACACAAATAAGTAAAGCAGTACTTTCCCATAATACCGACGATATACAAAAAAAAAAAATAAATCAACGGTTTGGTATTAAATTTTGATTTTAAAACTTTGATATTTTTTTTATATTTAATTTATATAGAAATTTTTTTTTTCAAAATAATGAAGAGTCAGAACTAGGAATGTTTAAATTTGCAAGTTCACATATTTGACATCATTGTCATGGTTCAGAACAAAATGCAATAAATTTTTCACATAGAATTTTTTAATAAATTGGAAGGTATATGTTCCTATATTATTAAATTTATTTTATTCTATTATACTATTCGAAAATTAAAATATAAGAACTCATAAGCTGGATTTTGCTGTTTAAACAATTATATCCAGATAATCTGTCACTATTAAATTCAACAAAATATTTGATATTTAATTCTTAATTATAGAACCGGAATATGAGTTTGTGTTTACCCATAAATATGGCTAATTTTTCGCAATGTAGCGAATTAAGTATGCGTACCGTAGTTAAATCATATGAACTGTTTTGATTTCATAGATAAGTTAAATGTACTCGTATATATATTGCATATTCATTTTGTTATGTTTTTGCAGCATTGCTTTTCGCAGTTATTGTTTTTGCGTTAACTATTGATCATAAAATATTTTAACTTTATACGTTATAAACGAACCTAATATTAATGATATATGTGTTCTTCAAGAACATTTTTCATGCGTTCACATTAAATCTACATATTGTGTAAATTTTTAAAAGTTACTTAAAAAAAATGAGAAAAAAAAAACAATGTATTGTGTCCTCGACTTACTAACATACATACATATACAAATAAAATATTTTATATTGAGTAATAAAAATAAAAATATAAAGAAAGGCAAGGAAACAGCAAAAAAAAGTTGCAGAAAATTTTTTTGTTATCTAGTTTCTATCTAATATTTTATCCTTTGTGAATATTATATAAATCCTAACATAAATATAGTTATAGTTCTACAAATATTCTTATTCTAGGTCAATAAAATAAAAAAAAAAACCGATTTTCAGTTAAAATACTAAACAGAATATAAGAGATAATTAAAATCAGGGACAAACTATAATAAAGCAAAAAAATGAATAGCTTTTAAAAAGTTTTCTTATCATTTTAGGAAATCCTTAAATTAGATTGATTTTCCTGTATTGATCTAAAAAATAAGAAAAAGGCAGTAGGGGAGGGGGGTATGAATTATGTTTAAAAAATTTTTCAACTTAATTAATTATTTTATAACATATTGTATAAAAATTTCTTAAATAAATAAAAATGAAAAAATGTTGTAGTAATAAAAAATATTGTTACAGAATTTTTTTAATTTTAAAAATTGTCATTTAATAGATTATGTCCTTGTAGAACGCATTTTGTTCGACTAATGTGGCATTAATTATATGTAAATTTCTTTAAATTTTTCGAAATATAGTTATTAATTTTACCCTTTGCGATTCTAGGCTATGAGTTTTAAAACTCTACTATATGTTGCTCTATATTACTAGTCTAAAATTAAGTACTCACAAAACGAAATTGAAATTAAAAAACTAAAAAAATTATGATTGTGGAATATTTGAAATTTAATATTGATATCTTGGAATACCAAAAATTTCAAAATTTGAATGAAGCTTTTAACAACAAAATAATTATTTTTTAATTCAAGTTAGCAAAATATTAAGCTAGTAAAATCTTAATTGTCTTGAAATTTTATACTGTTACTTAAACAATTGTTTGCCAGCTATCATAATAGAAAAATTCCATAAATCAAATAAAATCATCTATTTTTCTATTTTGAATTACTCGTAATTCAAATTTTGTTTTAATCAAATTATTTTTCACATTACATATCAAAGTTACCAAAAAAAAAACACAAAAATTCTATCGATTACAGAAGAAACTAAAATAATAGTTGTCATTAAATGTATACAAATAGATTATTAAATAAATAGTTATAACTATTATTTACCGTAATAAATTTTTACCTTATTAATATGTTCAGGTGTACATCGAAGTTTAATATTAAAAGAAAATGAAATAAAAAGCATAACAATATTAACGCAACACGTTTTAACCTATATATACATATATGTACATATAGAGTAAGCAAACAAGTCACAATTTCTATATATGTAGGTAAATATATTAAATATGTACATATGTACGCAAACATATATTGTGTTTTATGTTACAAATTTTGTTTTTTTTTTTAGGAAAGTTATTTTGAACTGAACTTAAACGTGAATTGAATAATATTTTTCTATTTATATTTTGAATACAATTTTAAAGGGAATTCTGTAGATTTCAAGCTATTGATGATAGAGAAGACGGTATTGTAATAAAACACTATTAAAGAATGATGAATGTATGTTTGTAATTTGGAAAAAAATGCCTTCTATCACTTGTTCTTATTTCGATAATAATTGATTTGGTTTTATTATTATACGATTTTTTAATCAAATAGTTGACGGTTTTGTTATTTACATAACTTGAATAACATACAAATTTCTTACAAGATTCTCCCGATTCTTTTATTATTTTATGATAATTTGTTGAATTATTTTAAAATTTACTTTTATTTTTTATGTATATATCAAAGTTGTTCTTGGTCGTCAGTTAATTTGCTTAATTTTGTGAAAGATTACATTTTAATCTCAATCGCATTCAAAATTTATGATTCCCAAAACAATTAATGTTTTGAGAATCATAAACTTTTAAACAAACTGTTTGTTTTCTCTCAAAACAAACAGTTTTCTCGAATTAGTAAAATAAATAAAATCATAAAATTGATAAAATATTTAAAACAAAAAAATAATAAAACATTATTTTTACATCACACCACTTTCTCTTAATTTAATAAAAAAAAACAAATGATCCATTTACAATACACAGACAATCACATATAAATGATATTTACTAAATTAGATAGGTCACTGACATTTTTGTTTACAAAATTATTATTGTTGAAGATTTTTTGCTTCTAACTTGTTTTTGTTTTTTTTACCAAATAATCAGCAATAAATTTTCTTATACTACATGTAATATGATTTTTTTCAATTTAAGTAAACGAATGCAACTTAAATCCAACCCAATTTCAATAAGAAAAGAAAAGTGCAGTTGGTGTCACGCATTAGTCAAATCAATAAAATTCTATTTAACCACATCGTACGAGTAGTATGCATATATGTTTGTTTGTATGGCTACACTATGTATACACATATGTATGCTTTTGCATTTCATTCGAAAAATTATAAAAATTATACTTTATCTTAAAAACTTTGATCTACTTTGTTAAATTGTTAAAATACCAATGTTGATTTGTTATTTTCCTGTTGTACCAAGAGCTTAAGAACACAAAATGAAACGGAATCACTCTTGGATTTTATTGTATGTACATATGTATGTATGTTTATTAACAAATAGTAAATTTGTTTAAATATTTTCTAAATTATTGCCTCTAATTTAATACCACTAACTTACTACTCGAATATATTTATCCTCAAACATCATATGTACATACATGTATAGTAGGCAGTAAAGCAGTAGTATATAAGAAGTAGCATTTTCTAAATTTTTTTGCGTTTTTCATTAAAAATTTAAACACATGTTAACAGAATAGTTGACTGTTAATAACTATATGATATAAATGTATAAATATATAATTATATATTTATACATTTTTAAAATTTAACAATTTCGTCTGTATTATGGCATACAACTATGTTGAGTGTTGGCTTAGTATATGATGTAGATTCTAGAGGTGTATTTATGATTTGGGACTTTAGAATGAAAAATTTGTTTCACTAATTTCACTAAACATTATAATTTTGTTGAATTATTAAATTTATTTTTGTTTTCAATAAGTATACATTTGTACATTTGTAACAATTTGACTTTTAGAACTCTTAACATTTTAAGTTCTAATAATCGACTTAATTGAAATACATACATTTGAGTAAACAGTTTTACACCAAAACATTTTAATTATTGTTTAAAATATTGATCTGTAATTGAATTAATAAACTATATGTAATAGTTGATAAAACTTATACCGAAAATAATATTAGAACTGTTATACATACTTATATGTAGTATACATAAAAAATGATAAAGCAAATAAAAAATAATAATTTTACGTTCCAAGCGGGGAACTAATTTTGTATGAAAACGAGCAATAATTATGAAATTTTAATAAAATAGGGCTCATATTTAGTTGAGACAAACGACAGGAATTTGCTGAAGCAATCGAGTTTCCTCACTAACATTACATTGCCTTAAAATTAATAAATTTGATCCTGTCTAAC